AATGAGTCACAAAGATTTAATTATTGAATTATTTTTAATTACTCTAATTGTTGGTATTCATAAAATTAGCATTATTTTCATGATTGAACACAATTGAGTTAATTTGGATTCCTTATTTTTTTTAAAATAAATTTATAATAAAACACTTTTTATTGTTAATTAGTTTCTTTTATTTGTTTTTTCATCTGATTTCTTTAAACATTATAAGTGTTTCATTTATTTTTCATCTCTAATTTTAAGAATTCAAATGAAAATTAATGACACTTACGAAGATTAAATAGAAAACTTGTGATATTTTGAAAATATTAAAGTTATGATTGTTCAAGTGACCAAATGAGAAATAAAGCTCACAACAAAATTATTTAATAAAAAATATTGTAAAAAAAATTTAAAAATTAAAAACTAGATAAAAATATATTAAATTTATAGAAAACAAAAAGAGAAACAATACTTAAAATTATCATGGTTCCTTCTGTAAAGCCCCAAATTTTGTAATATTAATTTTATATATATATATATATATATATATATATATATATGTGTGTGTGTGTGTGTGTGTGTGTGTGTGATAAATGTGGATGTTGTTTGTGCATCGAGATTTACTATACTGAACTTTTTGAAATAGGTTGAGTATAGGGTGCAGGGTGTTCTCGCTGCAGCGAGAGGGTCCTGGGAAGAAGGCGTGAAACTGTCGCCTTCTCATTATAGCGAGAGAGCTGTAGTTTAGGGTACAATTCTAGGTGCAGTCTCGCTGTAACTAGATTTTGTAGAAACCAGGATGCAATTTTCTCTGAGATTTTCGCTGTAGCGAGAAAGGATGTCGCTGCATGAAATGCCAACCAATATGGTGTCTGATAGAAATATAAGGTTTATGTCAAAGTTTTGGGAGAGCTTGCAGAAGGCGTTGGGAACTAAGTTGAGACTTAGTTTGGCTTATCACCCACAGACTGACGGTCAAATCGAGCAAACTATCCACTCCCTGAAGGATCTTTTGAGGGCCTGCATGATTGAGCAGCAACAAACTTGGGAAGAATGCCTGCCATTAGTGGAGTTCACTTACAACAACAGTTATCACACCATCATTGAGATGACACCGTTCGAGGCTTTGTATGGGGAGAGGTGCAAAACTCCATTATGTTGGTATGAAACTGGATAGGTGACTCTGGGTGCGCTGGATATAATTCAAAAGCAGAATGATTAGATCAAGATGATCAAGGAGAAGATGAAGGCTGTACAGGATAGACAAAAGAGTTATTATAGGATTAGAAATTTATTTGAACTCTAATGTAATTGAATTAATTCTGTAACAATGATTTGATACAAGTTGTAACTCATCCTTATTTTGAAACATTTTAATAAACTATTGTCGCAACCGGGCGGTTGCAACGGTACGGCAAAAAACGTTTTCAAATATATCAGAGGAGTCGCCACCAAAGTTTATTTTAAGAAAAACCTTGGAAAAACTTAAATATAATACGATCTTTGAAACCAAAAATGAGTTCGGGAGTCATTTACGTGTAGGGAAGGTATTAGCACCCTACAACGTCCGTTTAAAAACAGTTACCTAAAATTAATTGTGCAAATTCATTCTAATTTTGAAAAAAAAATATTTATTTAACCCCTAAATATTAATTATTTTATTTTAGAAGAATAAATATTATTTATTGAAATATTATTTAGGTTATTTTAAAAATTATTTTGACTTGACGGGTTCAGTTCTCGCTCCTACGTATCCCCGGGTGCAATGGGAAACTTAAAGCCACGTAGTTCTATTTAAAAATTATGAAAATAGTTGATTATAATTAAGTTTAGTAAAAAAAAATTATTTTAAAATTAAAATCATTTTCGTAAAATTATAATGTTTAGGATACAAGATAATGCAATTATACATGTACCCTACGAGAAAACAATACAGAAAGTGAAGAAAGATCACACAACTATACTGCAAATCGTTAAGAAATATTTTATTCGTAAATGGAGTATTTGAATTTGAAATTTGATTATGATTAATATTGAAAGAAATTTAAGATAGCGTAAGCTATACATAAACCTCTTATAATTTATTAGACTATCGAAAGCAATGTAAATTACACATCAATATTATAAAAATTTATAAAATGAAGAAATTATAGTAATTTAATTTATCAAAATTTGAAATATGACTTAAGAAAATTTAAAATATAAAATTAATTATATTTTAATAAAAAATAATTTTATTTGAATTGATTAAAGAAGATACTCATTTAATAAAAAACATTAAAAATTTTATTTGATAGATTTATATTATATAAAACCTAAGGTAACGTTGGTACACATAGATTTTGACAATTTATAACGCATAAAGGCAGAGTTGCTACACATTAGCATTATAAATTATTTCTTAATAAAACAATTTAGATTTAAATTAGTTGATTGATTTGTAAGTTAGTATTTAGAAGAGAAATACATCTTGCATTATTATTAAAGTGATTAACTAATTAATTAATGACAATATGTGATAAATTAATATTGCACAAAGTCTTGGTAACGTAGGTACACATAGACTTTATCAATTTATAATACATGACGATAAAGAAGTTATACGTTAGTATTATAAATTGATACAATTATATTATTATTTATTAATTAATTATACAAAAAATTAAGTAATTTAGTATTCACAATATAAGATAAAGTAATCATAAATATAAAATTAAATCACATTAATATGATACAAATATATAATAAATAAAATAAAAGATAACAATCCTAAAAAGTAAGATATAAATAATGAAATATAAAAAAGGAAATAATTTATTGTTAATGTTAAAATGAGGTAAAAAAATCAACTCAAATATGATATTGTAAAGTAAACGGTATCAAGAGATTTTAAATAAATAAAATAAAATAAAATAAAATAATTTAAACAAGGTTAACATAAAAAAATAAAAATAAATAATAAGAACTCATTCATTAAATAAATTAATAATTATCATAATAACAAATAATAATGATGATGAATAAATAAATAAAACTAAAACAATAAATTATATGTTGAACTAAATATTGATAAAAATAAAATAAATAAAAAATTCAGACAAAAAAAAAAGAAAAAAAAGGATAAAATGATCCCAAATTTTAAATTTTTAGATTTGAGAGGGAAGGACTTTAGGGTTAGGAGTGTGCTTTTCTCCAACAAAAACCAAAAAAGTTATGAAAGGGTGGAGGTGAGGTTAATGGCGGCCATGGTTTTGAGTGGTGAAGGTTATTGAGAGCAAAAGGAAGAGGAATGAGACAAGGTAGAGAAAGAGTTTTTTATGGTTAGTTTTGTGTTTGTTGATGATAATAGATGGATGAATGGGTGGAGAGGTAGTGAGATATGGGTGTTTGAAGTGGTGGTTTGAAACTTTTTTTTTTTTGTCATTTGGGATTTATTTGATATAGGAAATGTTTATTCAAAATATAAATATGTATGAAGAAGAAAAATGTATAAGATATATGATGAAGTTTACTTGATGTTCTTGAAAATTTTTGCTTGCCTCTTATTCTTTCTCCTTTCCACTAACCTTTCTTTCTCTATATTTTCTCTTTTTCTCTCCAAGTTTTTGAATGTCTCCTCTCAAAAAAATTTTAGCCTCCTTTGATGTCCCCCCTTGCTCCATGGTTCTTTTTTCCTTTTATTATTAGGGTTTTCACAAAAGGCCAAAACTTCTGAATTTTTCCTTTTTTATGTATAAAGTAACATTGGTTCAAAAGTTTGATTATTTGTCATATTCTATTTTCTTTTTAAAAATTAATTCTGAAATTTTCCTATTTTATTAAGACAAATTTTTGTTTTTTCTTTAAAACTTTTTGATTCCATTCTTCTTTTATAATATTAAAATTCAGATTTTTTTTTAAATCAAAATTTTAGTGTTCACAACTATGTATGAGAAAAATCATCTTAAATGAAATTTTATTTTTTCTATTTATGAAATTTGATATTTAAAATTAAATTTAAAGTATTACACCTTCTTTCTTTAATGGTATGCATTATTCATTACTTAATTTTGAAACAACCCAGATCTTATCTGTTAATAACTATTAACCTTGTGAATTTTATTCTCTCTATTTTGACTAATAGTATATATAAATTAATATAAAATTATAACTGTATACTATATGAATTTAATTGAAAACTTTCAAATATTTCTTATTAGGTGAGTTCACTTTTTGGTGGTTACATACAGAGAATGGGATCAAATTTAATAACAACTTGTCTCCTCTCATATTAAGGGCTGCTATCGAAGATAATCTTAGTTAGTCACTCCCAATTGCATATTTTTCCTCAATAACTATACTTAATTAATTATTTTTTACTTCCTTCATAATTGTCCTATTGGGAAAATCAGAATTTGGATCTTCTTTATTAAATATTAATTAACATGATATAGTTATTTTAAAAAAATATCTTTTAATCAATAAATATTTATATAATTAATTGTTGAATTTATTAATTAAATTTGATTAAAATTATGTTTTTAATATAACTATATTATTCTATTTTAATTTTTTTTCACCTATGTAATATTATACAGGATAAAAATTATATAAAATAAAATTTTATTAAATATTATAAAATTAATATAATTAAATGTATTAATAATATCAAAATATTATATATAACTTCATAATTTTTTATGTAATGTTGTAAATGTTGAAAAACTCGTACATTATTCAGTAACACAGGATTTGAAAATGATATTATCATAGGAGAGGGCGGCTACCTGGCATAAGCTGACACGTTACAGCAGGAAGTTCTCCTGTCACAATGCTGGCAGCTTAGCAATGATTGCAGAAGTCTTGTACCAAAAATAAAAGCAAGGTCCATGAATATTACTGATATAAGGGACTAAAGAAAATAGGTCCACAAACATTATTCATATAAGAAATACAATGCATGATATACATTGGTAACTTTATTATAATTTTCTTTATTATAAGAAACCAGTATTGTTTTCATGTTTGATGACCAAATCCCAACTACTCATCACCATCATCTCTGCTATGAATCCACCACAAGAGATTTGTCAAAGAGTTTCCATCATCAAATCCATTTAAGCCTTTTATCTTCTGCAATGCACTTTCATTATCATAAATCCCTTCCAAGGCATACACAAATCCCTTCCACCCTTCTCCAACACCATCCCTATCCAAAGCAGGCAAAGTCCACTCCACAAGTTCCTTCACATACTCAACATTAGAGAACAACACTTCAGAAATTGGCAATAATGGTAAGAGTTGAATGCCAAGCCTACACTCTTTCCATTCAGCAGGAGCAAACCATAGTCCACTATCTCTTTTATTAGCCCATAGAACACCCATTATCCTGTTTTCTTTTGTAAAATCTTCCTCATACAAATTTCCACCCTCTTTTACATGCCACCACGTTTTAGCTCCAAGAATTTCCAATGCTGTGAGTGTTGATCCGAGTGCAACAACATGTGCATCACCATATGCCAAACCCATCAAGGCTGCAGAATAATATGCATTCACAGCTTCACTTGTGCTCTCTTGATTCCTTCCATCTGTGAATTCAGTTAACCCTCCAGCCCAAGAGTGAAACAAATAAAGATCAAAACACCTTAAGCGTGTATAATTGGAGTTTGATTTTGTGCCCAAATTCATAAAATCTTCCATAAGTGAATAGGCTTTAGACTTGTACTTTCTACCCCATGTTGGATCAATCTTAGCAAGCACTGCAATTCCATAGAGAAAATATCCCAAATGATAATGATGATCATTGTAAATTCCAAAGCCAAAATCAGCACCAGTGTCAGTAGACCCTTGTTTGGTTATAATGCCACCCCATTTAGGATCGTGTAAAAATCCATTCCCATTAAAAGTTCCCTCCAACCATGGCTCAATGGTTTCCTTCAAGAAGTTACTAATCTTTGGAATCACATCATGATAGGATAACTCCTCAGCAATCAATGCCAACCTTGCAGCCCTTGCGATCAACTTGCCATAAAAATAAGAAGATGTTGTTGTTATTGCCGATGAATTTAGACCCTCAACATCATTCACAAGAGCTGAAACAACCTCATCATGGGATTCTTCTCTGACACCCTTGGTAGAATACCAAGTTACTAAAACCGGATCTGTTTGCAAAAGCCATGAATCCCCAACAACACCAACAAGGTCCCCATCAATGCTTGTGTATTTAAAATCATTGAGAACAGTGACATCACTGTCTTCATTGGACAAAAGCTGAAGATGAAGAGGGTGGGCCAATAGAAGCAAATCACCAGAACCTTCCTTCTCCCACTTATATTCCAAACCAAAAGGTTCTCTGAACACAGCATGACCTGACAAAGGGTAACAAGAACTGAACTTGTCAAGAACACCCACATGTTTTGGATCAGAATCTGGCAGCAAAGCTATCCTAATTATGCCAGAAAAAGCGTTAGAAGTGATCTCAGAGAGGGTGTGACTCAACTTGATTGGTGAGGAAGCATATAGGAGCCATGTTTGACCATTGTTAAACTGAAAGGTGTATTTGGTTAAGGAATTATTTGAAGAGAAGGAGAGAATGGCATGGATTGTGGTGATGGAAAGAGGGGTTGGTTGGGTGACAGACACGGTCAAAAAGGGGCTTCCCCTAACAAGGAAGAAGCTTAGATTGGAAGAAGGGATATCCAAGGTGACACTGAGATCACTATAGGAGGAGATAATGTGCTTCCCATTGGAAGTTTGGTTTGATGAGATAGTGAGATCAGCATTGAAGACTTGGTATATGACAGCAGAGTTGACAGAGTGAAAAGGGTATGAGAGGGAGAGGGATGAGTTTGAGGATTTGATGAGGTAAGGGTGAATGTATTCAGGTTGGTCACCATTGTTTAGAACAAAGTTTTGGAAGAAAGAGTTTGTAGGGAGTGGATTTGAGACAAGGTTTTGGGAGTAAAAGTTGGAAGGATCAGGCAGGACAGTGGATTGTGTCTCTGGGAAAATAAAAGGAGTGTTGTTTTGGTTATTAGACATTTTGGATGTGGTGTGTGATTATGGTGATGAATGCTTGAATGGTGATTGTGTTGTTGTAGTGGTGGTTACTTAGGGCTTTTATAGTGTTGAGAGGGGTTATGGTAAATGAAATTCTTAGTTTGACTCTAGTGTTTTAATTATTGGCAGCTACTCCATCTACAACTTGGTTATTATTAAATTGTTATGAGTAGGATAATGGGACTTATTGGATTTTGGGGGATGCTTGTTGGATAGTTGACCTTAATCTATTGGGTTGGTGAACTGGATTTTAGCACAAGTTGAGCTAAAAGGTTTGTTTTGATATGTTGATGGAGGCTGGAATGGCATTGAAGGTATTGATTTAAATGAATGATGGAAGGGTGGAAGTAAAGAGGATTGAATGATTGATTAAAGGGAAGGGAAGCTTGGGCCCCAAAGGCACGTGAATGTGACCATGTCAAGAAACAAAATCAAGGTTTCTAAATGGAAACATGCCTAAAATTGGACCCAAAAATCAATTTTCCACATTAAGAAACGTTGTGTGTACATAAACGGAAAAATTGAACAAGAAGATAAACACAAGTCAGTCAACACACATACGAATCAGAATGGAAGTGGAGGTCGCAAGCAAGCACAAACCCATGATTTGTTTTTACAGAACCTTTGCGGAATGTTTTACCAATCCTCTTCCATTGGTTAATTAACTGGTTGAGTTATATATTATAATCCTAGTTAAAATTTTAACATTTAGTTTAAATGTCTTATATCTAATATTCTACACAATCGGGTGTTAAAAATGTTTAAAATTATACTAATGTAACCAGATGCATGCATAATGCAATTAAAAGAACACATTTTAACACCCCAATTATATAGAATGTCTAATATTAATCCAAATTAAACGTTAAAATAGTATTACTCTTCCAAAATTTGTGGCAAGTCACTGCAAACAAGGACAGACATTCAATTGGAAGTGTCGTCTACACTACCTTGTACGGTTGACACGTGCTGTTCGTGCAAGTAACTTAGGCATAGATGGGTATATATTACTGTTATATAAAATATTTGTTTGTGCCTTGTTCCTTACTCTTTTCTGGTCTGAGAGTTCAGTTCTTCAGGATCAATGCATGCTGTTGTAAACCAAGTGCTATTCAGTTTGACAGGAGGATCTGAATCGATTGTTTAAAACAATGGATTGTTTATAGCAAATTACAAAGGAAAAAAAAAATAATTTAAGTTTCTTTATCATGTATATTATTACATTACACTAGATAAAAAATTATATATAGTAAACTTTTATTAAAAAATAATATAATTCAATGCAATTAAATGTATTGATATTAGACCATTGAACACATGAATTAACTGAGTTATTTTATTTTAATTTGTAATTATGGTAAATATTTAAAAAAGAAATTTTGTCATCATAATATTTATATTCGACCGAAATAAGATTGTTTCCAATAAAAATATATATATGATTTAAACAAAAGAAAAATATATTAATATTATCAAATGCTATATTTTTTAATAAAAATTTACTACATATTTAATCATGTGTAATGTTGTACTAATTACAAATTATATAAAATTTTGTAGTAATTAATTTTGTATTTAAAATAATCAATTGTTGAGAATAAAGTAAGAAAATAAAAAATACTGAAAACAATTACTATCATTTAATCATAATTTCTAAAATTTGGTTCTTCGTGGAAAAAGCTATTTCTATTTTGAGATTATAAACTATTTGTAAATCTAAAATAACAAACTGAAATGTAAATCTAACTCATTTGAATTTTTAATTAAACTATTAAATATTTAGTAGATTGTATTTATATTTTATTAATTTAATAAAAAATTAAAAATATTTACTATTATAAAAAATATATAATTAATATAAACTAATAAAGTAAAAATATAAGTATTATTTCGTATATAATTTTTATTTTATGGTTTTAACACGTTTATGATGAAACGAAAAGCAAAATGATTTTATCGCGTATTCTTAAATTAAATAAAAAAAATCAAATTGAATGAAATAAAATACATTTTTAAGTTTTCATTTCATTTCATTTTAAATGAACAAAATAATAAAATTCTTCAGACAACTATGAAGATGACCGGGGTATGTGCATGATGATCCAAATTTTGAAGAAGTTATGGGCTTGGGCCGAAGACGAAGGTCCAAAATTGGTGCCCTCACGTCAACATCTCGGGATATTATGAGATGGCAGACTATCATTACACGATAAATTGGGTGTAAGATTTGTATTTGTCTATCTCTTAAGAGTAAGAATTTTTTAAGTATTTAATTATGTATTAATTATTTTTTAGATAAATTATATTGATATAAAAATCATACATTTAATAACCATATATTACAGTCAATAAATTTGGTAAATAATTTGTATTTAATAAATAGTTTTTGATAATATTATTTAAAATGGTTATACATTACACTTAAATAACAATTAACATTATTATATAATAAAATTTTACTTATCAAACGAATATAATATTTGAGAGTTGTACAAATACAAAAACGCGTTGTATAAAATGAAGTCCCTTTCCTAACATCATAATTCCTTAATGTACCAAAATAAGATAACAATTCCTTACATAAGAAGAGTTGCATAGATTTTGTCTTCCCATTCTCACTTGAATGAGTCACATCATAGAAATTCTAACTACAAATAATCATGCTATCCCTTCCTTGCACATTCCTCTTGGTTTCTTTCTTCACATAGTCACACATACCTTGCTGCCCCCAACATACCCTTTTCCTTAAACTTCAATCAACCATTTCAACCTTCATAAAACTCCCACTTCCCAAACCAAAATCCAATAAACTTAGCTCCTTCTCTGAACCCTCCAACAACTCACACCCAAAAGTCCAAAACGCAAACACCACCGTCCAATATAATATTAGATGCTTAATCGAGTATCCTAACTAAAATCATATTAACCTCGCTAGCTTCTCAGGTATTGCCACCTCAAGATTTTTATTAGTTAAATTTTTGTATTTTTGGAATTCCAATTTTCATTACATTTGTTTTAGTATTCTTTGTAAGAACTAAAATTCTCTTTTAAAGTACTTAACGCAATTAGATATTTAAAACTCAAAATCATTAATTAAAGTAAAGCAATCTTACCTGCTGTTTGAGGCACTTTGTGATAATCCTCACCACATTTAACAATAAATTATTATTATTATTACTGTAAACCTAGTTTTAGTCAACCACCTAGCAAATGCTGGAAAAACTTAGACGCAAGGTTAGCACTGCCCTAACAAGAGGAGGCCCTAAAAAAGGCTCCAAACACTATAAAACCTTCAAAACACCATCACCACCACCACCACCACCACTCCAATCACCTTCACCATTACTGCCATTACCATTGACATTACCCCAACCAATAGCACCACCAACAACAACAATGCCTCACAACACAAAGCACAATCCTTTTGTGTTCCCACAGGTTCGTTCCAGTGTCCTCCCTGATCCCTCCAACCTCTTCTCTCCAAACCTTCTGTCTTCTCCTCTCCCTACAAACTCTTTCTTCCAAAACTTTGCTCTCAAAAATGGTGACCAACCCGAATACATTCACCCTTACCTCATCAAATGCTCAAATTCTTCCCTTTCCCTCTCATACCCATCTCGCTTTTTCAACTCTTCTTTCATATACCAAGTCTTCAACCCTGATCTCACTATCTCTTCCTCTAAAGAATCCAACCTTTCCCATTGGAACCACAGAATTTCCTCCTATAGTGATCTCAGTGTCACTTTGGATATCCCTGATTCAAATTTGCGGTTTTTTCTTGTTAGGGGAAGTCCCTTCTTGACCCTTTCTGTGACTCAACCAACCCCTCTTTCCATCACCACCATCCATGCTATTCTCTCTTTCTCTTCCAGTGATTCTCTTACCAAACACACCTTTCACCTTAACAATGGCCAAACTTGGTTCTTGTATGCATCTTCGCCAATCAGGTTGAGTCATGGCCTTTCTGAGATCACTACTGATGATGCCTTTTGTGGGGTAATTAGGATTGCTTTGTTGCCTGATTCTAATTGGAACCTTGAGGGTGTTCTTGATAGGTTCAGTTCTTGTTACCCTGTGTGTGGTGATGCTGTGTTTGCAAGACCCTTTTGTGTGGAGTATAAGTGGGAGAAGAAGGGGTGGGGTGATTTGTTGATGTTAGCACACCCTCTTCATGTTCAGCTTTTGTCTGATAGTGGTTGTGATGTTACTGTTTTGAGTGATTTTAAGTATAGAAGCATTGATGGGGATCTTGTTGGTGTTGTTGGTGATTCATGGATTTTGAAAACAGATCCTGTTTCTGTGACTTGGCATTCTAGCAAGGGTGTTAGGGAAGAATCCCGGGATGAGATTGTTTCGGCGCTTTCGAATGATGTTGAGGGTTTGAATTCGTCGGCAATAACGACAACTTCGTCGTATTTTTATGGGAAATTGATTGCAAGGGCTGCAAGGTTGGCATTGATAGCTGAGGAGGTGTGTTTTCTTGATGTGATTCCAAAGGTTAGGAAGTTCTTGAAGGAGACCATTGAGCCATGGTTGGATGGAACTTTTAATGGGAATGGATTTCTATATGATAGGAAATGGGGAGGCATTGTTACCAAACAAGGTTCTACTGATACTGGTGCTGATTTTGGGTTTGGAATTTACAATGATCACCACTATCATTTGGGATACTTCCTTTATGGAATTGCAGTGCTTGCAAAGATTGATCCAGTGTGGGGTAGGAGGTACAAGCCTCAAGCCTATTCACTTATGGCAGATTTCATGAACTTGGGAAGAAGATCAAACTCTAGTTATACGCGTTTGAGGTGTTTTGACCTTTATAAGTTGCACTCTTGGGCTGGAGGGTTAACTGAATTTGCAGACGGAAGGAATCAGGAGAGCACCAGTGAAGCTGTCAATGCATATTATTCTGCTGCATTGATGGGTCTGGCATATGGTGACACCCATCTTGTTGCCATTGGATCAACGCTTACAGCATTGGAAATCCATGCTGCTCAAATGTGGTGGCATGTGAAAGAGGGAGATAATCAGTATGAGGAAGACTTTGCAAAAGATAACAAGGTAGTTGGTGTTCTTTGGGCTAACAAGAGAGACAGTGGACTATGGTTTGCACCTCCTGATTGGAGAGAATGTAGGCTTGGTATTCAACTGTTACCGATACTGCCAATTTCTGAAGTCTTGTTCTCAAATGTTGATTTTGTGAAGGAGCTAGTGGAGTGGACATTGCCTGCTTTGAATAGGGAAGGTGTTGGAGAAGGATGGAAGGGGTTTGTCTATGCACTTCAGGGAATTTATGATAATGAAGGTGCATCGCAGAAGATAAGAAGCTTAAATGGTTTTGATGATGGGAACTCGTTGACTAACCTCTTGTGGTGGATTCACAGCCGAGGTGACGAGGAGGAGGAATTTGGTCATGGAAAACACTGCTGGTTTGGTCATTACTGCCACTAGGTATTGTTAATGGTTTCAAATACTTACAGAAGAAAATATGTTATAATAGTTTCTTGCATTGTACATAAATAAATCTCTGTATACCTCTGAGGTCTGTTTCTTATAATTTCTTCATAAGTAAAATATGTGTGTGTTGTGGACTTCCGAATTCATTCTCTGTCTTTAATTTTCCATTGTGTGTTTTTGGCATTTTCATGTGTAAAAGTGGCTGTTAGCTTGTGGATGCCCTCTATAATCTAAGGGTTTTAAGTACAATTAAGGAAGCACTATATGAGCAGTGACTGAAACTAGTTTTAAGCTCTTTAGTGAATATAAAAACTGTTTAATCTTGTTATGTTGTGCATTTTTTTCCTGCTGAAATATAAGTCCATTTGACAGCAGCAGAAACTTAAGCAGTTTTTTATCATGGTAAGTTTTCTTTTTTTGGGTGCAACATAAACTCCAAGATCGTGAAATTATCCAACTTAACCCTCAAAGCCATGTTTCAATATTTTGTGAGGACAGAAGCTCCTAGGAACAATGGTATAAGACTTGGTTGTTGATGTAGAAGCTCCTAAGAACAGCACCCATTCAAACAAAATGTTTTTGCTATTGTCTCCGCAAAGAAAAATAGGCGATATTCTTTTCAGAAAAATTGAGCTTGGCTTCCAGCAGTCTGTGTTCTTGCTATGTGCCCATTAAGCATTGATAAACATGGAAAAGGAATTAGTGTCTCTATAGTTAGTTTGTTAGTATATTTCAGTGTCTTCATATTGCAGGGTTATCCCGACAATTCCAAATTCTACTTCAATCTTCGTAGCTTCCCTTGTTCTTTTGTGGCCTCATGGAAAATCTCATGTCCATTAAACTGAAAAACAAATTTACTTCTAACAAAGTGAAGTGGTCAATTGTACGAATTTGTGTTTGACTTTTGTAAGAATTTCGAATTTTTTAAAATTTATTATCCAAACAACAAATTTTAAGTCATAAAATTATAAATTCTTTCAAAAAATAATTACGTATTTAAAATATCTTATCTAAACATATTCTAAGAGTTATATATATATATATATATATATATATATATATATATATATATATATCTGCTATGATTTCATACTGAATACATACTAGTAAGTACTACAGATTTAGAATCATCTTAATCACAGGAATGAAAATGTTGTCTCCTGCGTCAAACCTTAAAGGTGCCCTGTTATGTTGCCACATGAAGATTAAACACAAGGAGAATGATGCCATTTTCACTCCTAAATTTTTATTTTCTCTCTCACCTAGCGCACTTTATTCATCATAATCGTACGTAGCGAATATTAGATATAAAGCATACATAACACAAATCATGAAGGTTTAGACCACTGATTCTACCAGAATCAAAGAAGAGCAACCTATTCATAATCATAACAAAATAAATAAACCACAATAACACAAGCAAATAATATACCTCAAGCAAGAAAATTTGTTTCAGTTACTATTAGTAAAAACATGTTTCTAAATCGTAAATTGCTTCAAAAGCAGCACCCAGAATATGCAATAAACACTGCCATAGAGACATGCAGAGTAGTTATGTATGCATATAAACAAAACCCATTAACTAAGGCTCAAGGTAACTAAATCTAATCAACATACATTTGGATCTCAACAAGCAATAAATTCTTAAACCATTATATAATGTGACTTTGGTATGAAAAGTGCTAGGAAGGTTAGATAAAACATAAAAAATTGATTTTCACAAGCCTTTGACTGCCACGTGTGGCAGCTATCTGCAAGTAACTAGCAAGTAGCAAACCTTGATTTTCTATGGTTCTGTGCCTTATCCATTTCTCTCAAAATCTAAATAATTGAAATCTCTTATCTATGCCAATGCACGAATAACTTCATTCTACAGCAAAATAAACTCCAACCTCACATTTCAGAACAAAATAGTTATTTTCAATGTCTTTCTAAATTAATATTTTACGTGATATTATATATATATATATATATATATATATATATATTCCTATTATAAATATGTATCTTAAAAATATAGATAAAAACTAAAAGAACCAAAATTGTTTAAAAAATATCTTTATTTTTGTACAGAGAGAAAAGAATTGGTGTTTATAATCTTTGCAAAAGTAGGCAATATGCGAGTCCACTTAAACGCAATGCAAAAGGTAATTCCTTATTTGAATGTTGACCACAAACAAGAAAAAGAAACCAAAAAAGTGAAAATAAAATAAAATAAGAGGAATTTTTATAAATAACTTGTCCATAAAATGGAAGAATAAAAATGAGCCTGTTTTCTTTCTAAGCTAGGGAAAAAGATTCTATAAACAAGTTACGAAAAAGATCTTTCTTCAAACAATATACCTTATCAAATGCTAAACATCCTCGTCATGTCATCTCTTACTTGCACCTTCAAGTGCATAAACTAGAAATTATCTTTCGTGGATTCTCACTCCATTCTCCAAACCCAAGCCAAGGAATGGAATCATGTTCTCTCTGTAACATTTCTCTGTTCTTATTGTGCAGTGTACACTCATAACACCTTTTTATTTTTATTAAAATCTCAAATTAATCTTTAAGATAATACATTTTTTAATTTAATATATAAAAAATATTAAAATTAGTTCTTAAATTTATGTTAATTTATTTAGTAAATTCTATTAATAAATTCTTAGAAATATAGTATGTTAAGTATAATGTGACACGTTAACGTTAAATCTTACAGATTCTTGTCTTTTAGACTGATAATCTTACAACTATTACTATCCCTTTCTTGGTGTCATTCCAAATTATTCTCCGCTTCAATTTTCTGTTCAATATATAACGTATCAAAAACAGTAACCAACCCCTTCTATCTCCAACTAACTTAACTTCTTCTACATCAAAAATCTAAACTCAACATGTTTAGAAAACTTGCAAGAGGAATAAGAAAAACCTTAAAACCACCACCGCCGCCGCCACGACCACCATCACTGCCACCACTACCACCACCACCACCTCCTCCACCTTCACCACCACCACCTCCTCCTCCACCACCACCGCCTCCACCTCCATCTCCACCACCACCACCACCACCACCGCCTCCTCCGCCGCCTCCACCACCACATTTTCCCTTCCCTCAAACTCAATCCACAGTTCTCCCTGACCCCTCTACTTTCTTCTCTCCGAACCTTCTTCCTTCTCCACTGCCTACAAACTCTTTCTTTCAAAACTTTGTTCTAAAAGATGGTGACCAACCTGAATACATTCACCCTTACCTCATCAAATCCTCAAACTCATCCCTCTCCCTCTCATACCCTTCTCACGTCTTCAACTCTTCTTTCATCACACAAGCTTTCAACCCTGACATCACCATCTCTTCCTCTGAAAAGAAAAGCACCCCAGGATCACATGAGAAGCACACGATCTCTTCCTTCAGTGATCTCAGTGTCACCTTGGACATTCCCTCTTCAAACCTCAAGTTCTTCCTTGTTAGAGGAAGTCCTTTTGTTACAGCATCAGTGACAGGTCCCACACCACTTTCCATCACCACCATTCATTCCATTCTCTCACTTTCGTCCAATAACTCTCTCACAAAACACACCTTGAACCTCAACAATGGCCAAACATGGCTCATATACACTTCTTCTCCCATCACTTTGAACCATACCCTTTCTGAGATTACCTCTGATGGGTTTTCTGGCATAATTAGGATGGCAGTGTTGCCTGATTCTGACCCTAAATATGAGGTAATCCTCAACAGGTTCAGTTCTTGTTACCCTATATCTGGTTGTGCAACATTCACAAAGCCATTTTGTGTGGAGTACAAGTGGGAAAAGAAAGGGTGGGGAGAGTTGTTAATGCTAGCTCACCCTCTTCACCTTAAGCTTTTGTGTGATAGTGAATGTGGTGTCACTGTGCTTCATGATTTGAAGTATAGAAGCATTGATGGAGAGCTTGTTGGTGTTGTTGGAGACGCATGGATGTTGAAAACTGATCCTGTTTCTATCACATGGCATTCCACCAGAGGTGTCAAAGAAAACCATGAAGAGATTTTTTCAGCTCTTTCTGAAGATGTGGATGCTCTTAACCCCTTGGCAATAACAACAACATCATGCTATTTTTATGGCAAGGTGATAGCAAGGGCTGCAAGGTTGGCATTGATTGCTGAGGAGGTGTCTTTTCTTGATGCAATACCAGCAATCAGGAAGTTCTTGAAGGAGACCATTGAGCCATGGTTGGGTGGAACTTTTGATGGAAATGGTTTTCTCTATGATGGGAAATGGGGAGGGATTGTTACCAAACAAGGGTCTAAAGATTCAGGTGCTGATTTCGGGTTTGGTATTTACAATGATCATCATTACAATTTGGGGTACTTCCTTTATGGAATTGCTGTTCTTGCTAAGATTGATCCAGCTTGGGGGAGGAAGTATAAGCCTCATGCCTATTCACTTATGGCAGATTTCATGAACTTGGGAAGAAGATCAGACGCTAATTACACACGATTGAGGTGTTTTGATCTCTATAAATTGCACTCTTGGGCTGGAGGGTTAACTGAGTTTGCTGATGGAAGAAATCAGGAGAGTACTAGTGAAGCTGTGAATGCATATTATTCAGCAGCATTGATGGGTTTGGCATATGGTGACACTCAACTTATTGCTACAGGATCAACACTTGCAGCATTGGAAATTCATGCAGCTCAAATGTGGTGGCATGTGAGAGAGGAAGATAAACTCTACGAGGAAGATTTTACCAAAGAGAATAGGGTGGTGAGTGTTGTGTGGGCTAACAAGAGAGATAGTGCACTATGGTTTGCTCCTGCTCAGTGGAGAGAGTGTAGGCTTGGTATTCATGTTTTACCATTGTCTCCTATTACTGAAGCCTTGTTTTCAGATGTTGGTTATGTGAAGGAGCTTGTGGAGTGGACACTGGCCAATTTGAACAGGAAAGGTGTTGGTGAAGGGTGGAAGGGGTTTATCTATGCGATGGAAGGAATTTATAATAAAGAAAGTGCATTGCAAAAGGTAAGAAGCATGAAAGTTTTTGATGATGGGAATTCATTGACTAATCTATTATGGTGGATTCATAGTAGAGGTGATATGGAGGAAGCAATTGGTCATGGAAAACATTGCTGGTTTGGCCATTACTGCCATTAAGCACTGTTAACTATTAACTATCTAGAGATGTTGAGGTGAATATATGACCCATGCTAATGTTAGTATCTTGCCTCTTCATCGACATGTGAATGTTTATAGTTAGTATCATTGTAAAGAGTGTTAAGTGGGATATTTATTAGTGTGATATGTTGGTATAATTAATATCTGTACTCTGTAAAAGTTCTGTAATTTGATCCGAGTTATTTAATTAGTATTAACAATCATGACCTTCGTTGATAATATGCTTTTATTGTTCATGTGGAAATTGTGGAGAATGTGAAATATTAGTTATATTTGGGGTGGCATGTCATCATTTGAGAAACATTAGATTCAACTTTAATTATTATATATGTACATAATTTTCTGACGATGATGCACACCTCTCTGTTTCATCTGATATCATTTATTTTCATTGTTCTTTCCTTTTTTTTCCCTTAACGAGATTGCTGATGATTTTGTGTTAAGTCTGATAGACTAATAAATATCTTGTCGGTTAATAGGCATCACCTCCCACATTTTTTATTTAATTTAATTTAAGACTACATTTATCCATCTATATATACTTTCATTAATTATTTTATTTACTTAATTTAGAACCATATGATCTAACAACCAGAGGATAAAAAAAATGGTATTTTATCATTTTTCACCTAAAATTCTCATGCGTTTTACTTGGTTAAAATATTTACGAACTAAATCGAATAAAATGTCTTTTAGTCTATACTACTCAATTAAAAAAATCAAAATTCGCACAAACTTAAAAGCAAAATTTTCAGGGTGAGACCAAATTTGTTAAATTTTAAAAGTAAAAAATTTCAATTAATGAAAATTTTAAATGCTTTTTATTTCCTACTTAAAAGTTCTCTTTTCAATTTCGTACCTACAATAAAAAAAATTAAGAATCTTTTACATAAATAAAAAATAAATTATATACTATATATATCTTTTATAAATGTATTAATTTTAGTAAAATAGAAGTCCTTGACTATCATGTAAAAGATAAATCAACTTAAATTAATTTTTATTCAAAATTTCAATAACTCTTTTACTTAAGTTGATTATAATCAATTTTTAAACGTTATAGTAGATTTCTGAAAACTTTAAGCTGTTATAGTAAATTTTTGAAAACTATTATGATAGGCTTTATTACGATATAGAAGTCGATCATAATAGATTTTAATTTAGTATAAAAATTAATTATAGTAGATTTTAATATATATATATAAATGCGTTTTAGTATTTAATCTATTTGTATTTATTAAGACTCAAATTTGAGATCACATATTAAACTAGAATAATTTTTTATTAGGTGAATAATTTTGATTAAGTGATGAATGATCTTGATTAAATGGTGAATAATTTTAATTAAATTATAAATAACATTAATTAAATTATAAATAACATTAATTAAATAGTAAATGACTTTGACTTAGTGGTGAATAATCTTAATTAAGTAGTAAATAATTATGATTAAAGAGTAAATAACCTTAATTAACTTTATTAAATTTGCCAAAGTTATGTAATATAATATTGATTTTAAAAAAATTAATTTAATAATATATATTTAGTGAATAAATTATAAAGTAAAATTTTACAGGATCAAATAAAGAATTATTTTAGTTTAATACGGGGTCTCAACTTTAAATTTTAATAAATACAATTAAATTAAATACTTAAATGTGCCAATGTGAACTAAAATTGATTTATGTTTTGTTATTAAACGATTCAAAATTAATTATAGTGAATTTTTTAATAATTATTAAATTTTAAGTGAAAAATTAATTTGACTTTTTTTTACAAAAATTAATTTTAATTAAATTTTATTTTATTTGAACATTTATATTCAAATTGAGAGATATACATAATATCTAATTTATTTTCTTTTATTTACGTAACAAACTCAAAACTAGGATGAGTTTATAAACGAAAATTCATTTTTAGAATAATTCATAAATTTTAGGTACAGATCTTCACGTGCTTTTCACATGATTAAAGTTTATTTTAGTAATATATATCTATATATAATGCTGACTTTGTTGTATTAATTATTGAAAAAAAAACTCTATTTTATTTAAAAAATAATATCAACAACACTTATAAAAATGCATCTATGATTGATTTATATATATATGTATTTTATTTTTTCTTCTCCTTATACATATTTTTTTATTTTAGTTTCTAAATAAAATACATTTTTATTGTTTCCTTTATTAAAAAAAAAACTTTTGAATTAGTTTTGCAGATACTGAAACAAAATGTAAAAGTATAGAAAAGAGGGGTACCTACGTAGAGATCGTTGCGAGAAAGATGGGAGAGACTTGTCATATTCTCCTCAAAAGAGTAATTGGGATACATACAAAAGCTCAGCCCAGTGGATTTTGTGCCATCTTTTATCATATGGAAGACATCACCCAGTTATGGTAAGTTTTTAGATAAGTATATGTAAAAGAAAAAAAAAATTATGTAAATTAAAAATAATTTTTTCTCTTCAAATTTTAAAAAAATTAAAGAAGAGAATTTTTTAAAATAAAAAATAAGTTATTTTTTTCTTATAAAAAAATGTATTTAAATATAACAATCATATTTGAGTACAATAAAATTATTATTAACAAAAAATTATTTATTTTAATTATTTAATACAAACTTATTGTCTAACATTTGAATTGAATTCGAGATCACAAACTATAATCAATATTCAAAAGAATATAGCAATTTTAAGATAAATTTATATATTTTACTATAAGTATTGCTGTCTAATTAATTTTTTATTTTTATAAATATTTTTATTTAATATTATCATAAAGTACCAAAATAATATTATAATTTTAGTAAATAAAAAACAGCAAAGAATTGTATCTAAGATTTTTCTTTTAAGAGAAGAAGTTGCCTGCACTTTCTCATTGACTAGCCCCCAAGTAAACGACACTTGTCAGGGTGCGTTTAAGCTTTAGAAATTGCACGAAACGACACATATATGCAAGTAAGTCCACACTGAGAGAGCGTGTGTAGAAGCAGTAGCAGAAGAACAACAACACCAGAGTGAAAATGGGTGAAGAGAGAGAAGATCCACAGAAACTGAAGCGAATAGCGGCGGATTCATACGACTACGACAACGATTCTCGATGGCCAGATTATTGGAACAACGTTCTCATCCCTCCCCACATGACCTCTCGCTCCGACGTCGTTTCGCACTTCAGGCGCAAGTTCTACCAGCGCTACGTTGTGCGTTTTTCTTCTCACACCCGCAATGTTCAATCAAGTTTCGATTTTTCTCCTTTTCCCCAATTGGGTCACTCTCCTTTCTCACTATGGGGTTTGGGGGTTTCTTGCAAAATTTCACTTCATTTTTCTTAATTAATTATTACTTTTTAATCACTAATGATAGTAGTTAATGTTTATTCTAATTTCACTGAATTAGTAAATTGATTGTAAGTAACTGTTGGATTGTTTGTGAATTTTAGTAAATTAGTAAGTATTCATGTGGGTTCATTGTTTAATTTTTACTTGTGAATTGTTTTGGAGGGTTGCATGTATAGTCTCGTGCAAGATTTCATATCTTGATGCTGTGAAGTGTATATTTGTATCAGGAGAGTGTGTTATTTTCACTAGCATATTTAATCGGTTGTAACTATTGGATACTGAACAGGATCCTGATCTTGTGGTGGAACCAATGTCTGTTGGAAGTTCATCCCAGCCAGCACGGCCATCGGCAACATCTTCGTCGCCACCCCCAACAAATAATCAAGCACGCCCTAGAAGCTCTGGTGAATATTTCATTTCTGCTAATCTCATAGATTTTTTAAAGAATTAGAATAAGAAACTTTTGTTGATGAATGTCTCGGTAATCATATTTGTTTGTTCTGTGACGCTTTAGTGAGTCTTATTGTATTTGTTGAATTTTTTGGCAGGATCAACTAATAGAAATTCAGGGACATCTGCAACTGCAGGTCCTAGTCCTACTCCTTTGCGATGGGATCGACAGACGATTCTATTTTCTGTTAATGCTTGGGTACATACTTTTCAACATTGAAGGCAAAAATTCATATGTTCTAGTTAAGATATGCTCCATTTGTGTATTGCTGATGTAATGACCACATTTGACTGATTGTTTTATTCAGTTCTCTTTTGTAATTATGTCTCTAAACACTTTACTTAGTATGCTACTGCAGATCAGAATTGATTTTATCACTAGTATAATCTCCTTGTGGAGCAATTGTGGAGAAAAGGCCAAAAAAAAATGTCAGAACTAGGAAGGGATGCATTAAAATTGTGAACTTGGCTAGTTATTTGTTAAATGACTCTTTTTTCCTCTTAGACTGTTTACTTGTTGATCTGAATCATTTCTGATGCTGATCCTTTAATTTAAATATTTTTCTATAGGTGTTTGTTGTGGGTTTCCTTGCAGCCATTCCACTGGTACCGAAGCATCTTTCTCATAGAGCTTATCGGCTTTCTTTCATGGGCACTACTTGCTCCTCTCTGTATGCATTGTACTCGCAATATGGGGTAAGAGTTCTTTTTAGTGATTTTACAGTTAACATTATCTTCTGAATGTGATTCTGGGCCAAGTGATTTTTTCATGATTTTGTGATTCTTTTATCTGTAATACATTGTTACATTGTCTTGGGCTATTGCAGAAGCCAAGGGCATGGAATTTGCAGGCCTTGCAAGTTTACTTTCAGACAATAATTGCTTCAAAGGATTTCATATACTTCATCTACTGCCTTACATTTGTAACGTCACATCTTTGCCTTAAATGTGAGTATTCCTTTGTCAGTTAAGTCCCGTTGTATGCTTTGTTTGCTTCTTGAAGGGAAGTAATGTTATCATTCCTATATGTCACTTCCATGGCCCGCTTTTGATAATCTGTTTGCATTACATTGCAGTTGCTTTGATCCCTGTCCTATGCTTGGCATTTGAACATGTTGCCAAGTTCCTTAGACGTAATTTCAGTCGCTCTACCTTGTACAGGTGAATATTTTTTAAATCTCTATACTAGCAACCACAATGAAACATGCACTTTATTGTTTTACTTCATCTTTTTCTTTCTTGAATATGCACCTTCCTGAATATAACATTGGTTTAAAAGAACAGCTTGGTCTGAAGAATTATAATGTCACTCTAAATTAAAATTTTGACATTTGTTGAGTCTTACATTGAAGTTTAATGGCTAAAGCCAATTGTGGAATTTCTTATTTAATTAATGTGTATTCTGTGCTTTATCTGTTGAAATGTCCGGATCATTTTTCTATAATTAGATTTTTAGATCTGGAAGGCCTAACTGCCTAAGCATGTAATTTACTTGCTACCAAATAGTGTCTGAATAATTATCTTAACAACCCTATGCATAATTGTTTATTGTTGATAATTGTTTGTGCCCAAATTCCCCCTAGCTCAACTCCATATACTGAATCACACAATTCTCCTTTAAGGACACTATTTTCTTAATGGGCATTAACATCTAACATCTAATTTAAGATCTTTTTATTGCTTTTTTACTCCAATAGGAAGTACCTGGAAGAGCCTTGTGTTTGGGTGGAGTCAAACAGTACTACCCTCAACATACTGACATCACACGCTGAGATCGGTCTTGGATTCCTGCTGATCATCTCACTGTTCTCGTCAGTTTCTCGAGCTTTTTCTTTTCTCCCTCATGTTTCTATATTACATATCCCTTTTCTATGAAAGTTTATTGTTTGCCTCATTCTACCCTTATTTTTTAACCACGCATGCAGGTGGCAGCGCAACATAATACAAACGTTTATGTACTGGCAGGTTTGTTTCATTGCTATCTGAATATATGTAGTACAAATATTATGCTTGTTTGTACAATTTGAATTTTTCCCCCAAGGAGAAAGAATTGGAAAATAATTTATCAAATGGGGGTATACCTTTGAAATGCTCTTGTTCTCCAACTTCCAATAAAAAGTATTGCATTGAACTCAATCAATCTGCTACAAAACTAAAATGAATATAATAAATTTTATTAACTAATTACATATATTCACCAACTTTGCCTTTCCTTCTGCAGCTATTGAAGCTCATGTATCATGTTCCTGTTACTGCGGCTTACCATCAGAGTGTTTGGGCTCAAATTGGGAGGACGATTAATCCATACATTCAACGCCATGCGCCATTCTTGAAAACTCCTATTTCTGCTGTTCAAAGGTGGTGGCTGAGGTAGAAGCTTGGCTAAAATGATTTCGTATGAACGCCTAGTAGACAATTTTTGTTTTTAACTTCAAATACAGATTGATTTCACATGAACGATCAAGTGGCCAGTTGGTCATATTACAAAGAACTGAAGTAGATTTTGGTTGAATAATGATCTAACCATGAATTTCAGTATGCTTGAGTATTGTGTTTATATGCACTTTATCATTTTGGTTGAATAATGATCTAACCATGTATTTCGTAACTGATTATTTGTGAGAATTTATCATTTCTTTTTAAAAAAATTTACCAAGAAAAAAGTGGTTATTTTTCTAAAACAAGTAAACCTAAACATATTAAGTGATAGCATGAGTTCATATTTTAATCTTCCATGGAATTCATGGTTCATTCTTCGGATGGGTGATTGGTTACACAGCTTACTACTTTGTCTTTCTATCTCTGTTACTGGAAGGTGATATTTGATTTCTTTAAAGGAGTTATTGTCACTGGCTTGACTTGTGTAGAAAAAGAAAAAGCAATTTAAGATAGATATTTTGTATACTATTAAAAAGTGATGTTTTACGGGTTTTGTAAATCTTGGTATTGTTTCTTTGGGATATTGATGTTGTCTTTCTGAGATGTCATTGTTAAAGACAGAAATAATTGCTTGTTTGACTATAAATTATACAAAAGATAAATAAACAAATACATATATGATGGCACAAATTTTGTGATGTTAACATTTTACTATATCTGAATAAAAAGAATGAGTGTTAATAATAATAATAATGATATATCAAAACAGTTTTTGAAACTGTTAATTTTGGTTGATTTAGTTCTTAAAATTATATAGAAGTAATTTTTATTTTTATATTTATTTTTTTAGTTTTTGGGATTAAAATAATCATTAATTGATTTAGAGATTGATTTTAATGCATTTTGTTAAAGAATTGATCCATACTAACTTAATTTTTTTTTTAAATACAAAATATTATTTAGTTCCTTGTTCTACGAGTGTAGTCAAGAACTTATCCATTATAATCTCATATCATAGTATCACACAAGGCTTCGTTTAATTGAAATATGAAATAATTTGTTCTTAAAAATTAATGTTATTGTGCAGAAGAGTTATTATTCAAAGAACGAATTTAATTTTGATATACTATTAGTTAAAATAGTCAATATAATGTTTAATCAATTTAGCTATAGTATTTGTTTAAAATTTTAAAAGGTGATATGTTACTAATATAAGTGAATCTAAGTTGAAGTACGTCTTTTAAGTTCAATGAAAATAAAGAATTTACTTATCATTCCCAATAGAACTCACAGTTGAACCCAAGTTTGAAATTCATGTTAATGTTTGAACTTTTTTTGTCTTTGACTCTTAAAAATTAAGGGTTTTTAGATACTTCTATTGAATAATCAATTTATTATGGTGTAATTAATTGAAAAATTTAATGGAAAGATTTAATTCTCCGAAGTTGCATTAGATAGTTCAATTACTAATTTTACACAATTGGTTTTTATTTGGAACTCAACCATGTAACTAGCTTTGGAATGCCTCAAAACAAACTATTACACAAGTCCTTATATTTGCCTTACCTGATTTCACAACACCTTTTGAATTAGAAACTGATGCCTCTAGTGTTGGGGTAGGTGTAACTTTTAGTTAACAAGGCCACCCAATTACATTCTTTTCAAAAGAATTATCTCCTTGGTTGTGTGTGCGAGATGTACGTGGTTACAGAAATAGTTGCTAAATTTCATCATTACTTGGTGGAGCATTGGTTTATTATACACACAGATCATTGGTTGATCACGATCTCCAAACTCTTGAACACAACAATGGATGCATAAGTTGATGGGGGTACAAATTTGTGATTAAGTACAAACTGGGCAATTAAAATGCGAGTGTAGATTCTTTGTCTAGGGTGAGTTGTTTTGCTCTCTCCACGGTTACTTGTGATTTCCTCCCTGCCTTGCATCAAGAACTACTTGTTGATCCTAAATACGATGTTATTTTAGCTTATTGTTGCCTTGGCCAGCCTCCGCCTCATTACCATATCCATGATGGCTTATTGTATTGGAAGGATTGTTTGGTTCTTCCTTCTCAGTCTCCCCTGATTTTGTAGTTAGTAAATGAATTTCATGATACTCCTATGGGGGGCACGCTGGTTTTTTACGCACTTACGAATGGTTGTTGTCGCTGTTTTTTTGGCATGGTCTTAAGCAACATGTTAAGCAATATGTGCAACAATGTCAAATTTGTGAATAAGCGAAGTCTTCTCAATCCTTACCCGCGGGGCTTCTCACTATGTTACCTATTCTAAACCGTATTTAGGAGGATATAACAATAAATTTTGTTACTGGCCTTCTTCCGGTCCAAGGTTATACTATCATCATGGTGGTTATCAGTCAATTGTATACTCACCTTATTCCCCTTAAAATTGCCTTTACTAGTGTTACTGTGGCTGATCAGTTCATTCAGGATATGGTGAAACTTCATGATATGCTTAATCTACAGTTTTTGACTGGGATAAGACATTCACTAGTCAGTTTTGGCAGTTTGTATCCAAGTCACAAGGCACTACATTGGCTATGAGGGCCGCTTATCATCTGCAAACCGACGATCAGTCGAAAGTTCTTAATCGTTACATTGAAATGTACCTCTGTTGTTTCATATATGATTATCCTCGTAATTGGTTTAAGTTTCTGTCGTTGGTCAAGTTTTGGTACAATTTTACATATCATACTTCTGTAGATATGACCCTATTTCAAGTTGTGATGGGCATCCACCTCCGAGTTTAATTCGTCCATTGGAGGGATTACCTATAGAAGTGGTTCAATTGTTGGAGGAGAGGGATAAGCACATGCATAGAACCGCATGAAACAACTTGCTTATTGCAATCAGATGGATATGGAGTTCCATATTGGAGATTTGGTATTTGTTAAGCTGCAACCATATAGACAGTTCACTCTTCGATCCCACAAGCATCAGAAACTTGATCTTCGATATTTTAGTCCTTTTTCGGTGATTGAACATGAGACCAGTTGCGCATAGGTGGTGGTTACCACCAACTGCTTGTATTCATTCTATTTTTTCACATTTCGCTGCTTAAGAAGTGTGTTGGCCATTCCAGTCAGCAATATTTTCTCCTTCCAATAGATAGTTGAAAAAGGTCCCCAACATTGTCCCATGACATTCATAGACTTGAGAAGAATCTGTAAACAAGGGCACTCGCTTGATCAGGTCCTTATTCAGCAAGCTTATTTACCTGTTTTTGCTAGCACATGGGAGTCCATTTCTTTTATGCAGCAACTTTTCCATCTTTTGACCTTAGGAACAAGGTCCATTTTAATGGAAGGGAACATTAATACTAGTATAGGAGGCATCACAGAATACAAGGAAAGGAGGAGACACATGGAGAGCAATCATAATGATGGGGTAATTAAATTTAGAAAGTTGTGGCACAATAAACGTGAGAAATGCAAAAGGTGAAAGTTGAGGACCAAAGTAGAGAGAAAATGAGACCATATGATAATTAAGAAAAAATGAGAATGAGTGGTTGTATTTTTTGAACATTTTCTTTTATCCTTTTCTTCTTTTTTTGTACTTGATCAACCTTGTGCTGTAAGTTTAGAATTTCCTTTTATCTATGCTTTCTAATCTCAATATGTATACTTTCTGTCTCTGCTACTAAATTTTATCAATATATAAAAAATTTATATTTACATATTTAGCGTGTTATTACTATTTTATTACTAAGAGTTACAAATATATATATATATATATATATATATATATATTAATTATAATAAATTTTATTATACACTTCTTTTGAAATTGACATGCACCTATCTTTATTAAATTTTGGAGATAATTATCTAAACTCATGCATGTTTAATGAATAATTTATCTATTCATTGTAAATATATTTTTTTGAGTATCTATTGAATATGGGTCGAATTATCATCCGTATCCATTGGTCCTTAAAAAGCATAGTGTAGGTTCTAATATGGATATATTTTTACGTTATTTACCCTTTTAGCAGTTATTTATTTTATTTAATGAAATTGGTTTTTGGATTATTTCTAAGAAAAATTCTGATTTATCATAATTTAAAAATTAAAATAAATAAATTATATTTAAAAAAGAAAACACGAACAAAAACACACATTCATTATGTTTAACAATTGCAAAAGACATCCTCTGGGGTCTCGTGATCCTTCTAGGAAGGCCAACCCATCAATTCATTCAGTACACGAATGTTCTTCAATAGTTGGCTTTTACAATATGTTCAAAAAGGCAAATGGAAGGACAACAATAAAAGGAATAAGTATCAAGTTAACGCTGTTTTAACATATTAATTAAAAATCAATAAGTAAAATATCTTTGTTAAAAATATATTAAAAATTGTGGAAAATATAATAATATTCTTTTAAAAAATTTATTTTAATTCCTTAATTATCTTTCTGAATATAATTTTTAATAAAAAAATTATTACCTAAATAACGTATTAATTCTGTTCGTGTGAGTCCAAACATATCTGTTACCATATCTAAACATGTATGTCCCCATCGAGACATGGATAGAGTGTAGAATGTAAGCCGCAAAATAATAATAATCTACGATGTCGGAAAAATAAATATTATAATTTTTACACATGTAAAGTTTAAAGATGCAATCTGGATATATAGATAGTTGAGACACGTATTTTGTTTATTAATGAAGAAAACTTGTTCAAGTTAATAGCTCTTTGTTCTCTTTTTCCTTTTATTTGAAAGAAAACGACATCAAAGAAACTGGGAACAGCTCTCTTGTTAAAGAGAGAAATAGCATAGTTGTCAATAAGGTGTCATGTGAGAAATTTTTATATTCAGTAGAAGAATTCAAAACTTGTTGAAAGAATTTTGGTATAAGAAAAATTGGGTAAGATTAATTATATACTTAAAGGCATGGATTGCTATAAAGGTGGCAGTGGTAGCTTTTTTTTTCTTCTTTTGGGTCGATTTCCTCTAATTGATTTGGTGTCTTTTTAATGTTAAAACAAACATATTCTAAATATATTAAAAAGTCATATATAAAATTAAGATAAATGTTAATTAATGCCTGAAAGGTATTAATTACAAATTAAAGATAATATTTTTTTTTCAAAAAATATTATTAATATATTCTTTCTGTACTTTTTAATAAAAATTTTACCTTCAATTCTTTAATCAGTAGGACACTAAAATTTAATATTTTATCCTTTTGAAATAATGGAGTTAATAAATAATATCAATCCATTTCATAACAAAGAGAAAGAAA